TATATATATATATATATATATATATATATATATATATATATATATTTATATATATAGTAGACAAAACTGTATTAACTTGGTGCCTATACAACAAACAACACGTCGAGCTAATAAACCCTAAACCCTAAACCCTCAAACCCTAAACCCTAAACCCTCAAACCCTAAACCCTAAACCCTACAATGAATGAGTTTAGTTCGCTTAAGTTTCTACAGTGCGTTGTTATTTTGTTTTAGTGTTTTTTATTGCTTTATCTGGTGTATATACACCTAAATATAGATAAAGAAAAGAAAGAAAAAAGAAGAGAAAAGAGACAAAATAAAATGATGATGCTGGCTGTTGTTGTTTCTGTTTTTTTCTTTTTTTGGGGTGTATGTACACCCCAATAAACCCCCCCTTTTATTTTTCTTTTCTTTAGTCAAACAATTTATAATTAATTTTTGTTTTTATTTTTTTTATTTTTATATTCATTAATAAAATAAAAAGGAGACAAAAAGAAAAGGAGACAAATAAAAAAGGAGACAAGCGGTGCTTACCTCTCAACAGAAATATATAAAGACAGAAAAAAACAAAAAAAAATAAAAAAATAAAAAATAAAAAATAAAAAAAAAGAAAGAGACAAAAAATGTATAAGGACACCAACTAAAAAAGAATAAAGCAGAGAAGCTGCAACCAACAAACAAAAAGAAAATGTTAATAACAAATAAATAAATAAATAAATAAATAAATAAATAAATAAATAAATAAATAAATAAATAAATAAGCAGAAAAACAAAAAAGAACAAACGGCCGCCTTGAATGTATATTTGTTTTTTTTGTTATATAGAGGAAGAAATAAAGTAAATATAATTTATTTTAATTTATAAAAAATAAAAAAAAATAAATAAATAAAAAATATATTTAATATGCAGCTGGAGCTGCCTATACACCCGAAATTTGGTTCGTTTATTGTCTGCTTATTTCCCTGCATATACAAACAAAATAAATTATTTTTATTTTATTTATTTGTTTATTTATTTATTTTATTTATTTATTTATTTTATTTATTTATTTTATTTATTTATTTTATTTATTTGTGTAAAAAAAATAAAATAAAACAAACAAAAAACTCAGTAGCTGCATAGACACCCGAAATACGCCAAGCCATTCAGAGCTTAATACAAAAAAAATAAAAAAAATATTTTAATTATATAAAAGAAAGTAAAAAGAATAAAATAAATAAATAAATAAATAAATAAATAAATAAATAAATAAATAAATTAATTAATTAATAAGAAGAAGAAAAACAGAAATAAATGAAAAACGTCACAAAAGAAAAACAAAAAACAAAAAAAAATTAAAAAAAATAAAAGTAAATAAACAAAAGAAAAGAAGAAAAAAAAACAAAACAAAACAAACAAAGAAAACAAACAAAACAAGTAAATAAAAAAATAAAAAAATAAACAAAAACACAAACAAAACAACTGCACCAACAACAGAAATAAATAAACAAAAACAAAGAGGATAGCAGCCGGAAAAAATAAATAAAAATAAAATAAATAAGTAAACGAAGGCAACAAACAAAACAAAAAAAAATAAAATTATAATAGATAAACAAAAACAAATAAATAAAATAAAGTAAAATAAAATAAAATAAAATAAAATAAAAATAATAAAAAACAACCAACAGCAATAGAAACAAATAAACAAAAACAACAGATAAATAAACAAAAAAAAAATAAATAAATAAAATAAAATAAAAATTAAAAATTAAAAATAAAAAAATAAAAAAAAATAAGAAAGAAACAAACCTTAATCTGCTGACTTCGCGGCGAGTTAACTCCACCAATGCCTACACAAAAAACAAAAAAAATAAAATAAAAAAAAATAAATAAGTAAATAAAATAAATAAATTAAATAAAATACTAAAATAAAATAAAATAAAATAAAAATAAAATAAAATAAAATAAAACAAAATAAAATAAAATAAAAATAAAAAAATAAAACAAAGATGTAAATTATCAATTGCATGCAAACAATAAACAAATCTGCGGTTTCTCTTCCTCAGCACCACACAGCAACAGCAGCAGCAGCAGCAGCAGCAGCAGCAGCAACAGCAGCAGCAGCAGCAGCAGCAGCAACAGCAGCAGCAGCAGCAGCAGCAGCAACAGCAACAAGAAGCAGCAGCAGCCAGCAGCAAAGCAGCAAACCAGCAGTAACCGCATGAAGCAGCAGCAGCAGCAAACCAAGCAACAGCAGCAGCAGCAGCAGCAGCAGCAGCAGCAGCAGCAGCAGCAGCAGCATCA